GTCAAGTAATACTACTCCCATAATGACCAAAAACAAAGAGATAATTCTAGAACACTCGTAATTAGAAAAGTAGAAAATTCTAATCTGAATAGAGATAGAACAGATCTGAACCCTAATTCTAGAACACTCATAATTAGCTAGTTGCAAGTTAAATCCTTTTCAGAAAATGTCCATCTATGGTCCTTACTAATGGAAAGTTCTTGGTAGAAAAAATCTTTTTACTTAAGGTTCTAGAACAAAGTGACCTTTAGGTTTCTTTAGAAGTAGATTTGGTAAGGAGAGTCATTCATTTGGATATTTTGGTCCAAGCTTTTTAATACTTTTGGCATTTTTTTAGGTTACCATGCTCCAAACAAATTGTTTTGGCAATTGTTTCCTCAGAGGAGTGGCTTGGATTCCCCAGTAGCCTTGTAATGCCAAAAGAGATGATAATAGGAGTACTTGTAATTTTGTGAAATAGATGGAAGCCTATTGAGTCTTGAAGGAGGAGTCCTTCCAGCAACATCATGTAGAAAGAAAAGGCTAGAATTGGTCAAGAAAATGAAGGACATGAAAGAGAGGCTAGGGATTTGAAAAACAAAATGATGAAATGAAGGGACTTGAGGGTTTTAAATTTGACTTGTGAGTGGTGTCTGCCACTAGAAGTTGGCACACATTGCTCCCCTAGTTGGTGCATGCCAACCACCTCAAGCTTTTGCCAGTAACTAGCCATTACACAATTTAAAATATATCAAAAACATGTTTAAGCCCAAGAAAGGCTAGATTAGAAGAAATAGAGTCTTGAACGAGATATTGAACCTTCAAAATCACATCAAAGCAAAGAAAGTGAGTGAGAATGAGAAGGGAAGACTGTCAGTTGAAAGAAAAAAAGAGCCAGCACTGGGTCACGATTAGAAGCTAACATTGCAAAACCGGAAAAAGTCAACAAACAAAAGATGCCAGGAGCTGATAATGAAAAGAAAGTCTATGATCCAAAAAAATTCAGCCAAATTGGATGAAACATGAAGGTAAATGAGATAAAAAAACAAGAATAAAATAGCTAGAAGTGCATTAAACAATTAGAAGTGTTGAGAAAAACCAAAAGAGCAAAGGGTCATAGCTTGAAACACATGAAAAAGTCGATAGTGGTAACTAGGGTGTTGAGTGCAAGAGCCTGCACAGTAGAAACAATCAAGTACAAGTTGTTGAACACATGAGATGCATAATACTACTGAGTGCATGAACTGTCCACCTTGGAGACATTGGAGCTCATGAGGAAGACCAACATACTTGAGCGCATGAAGATACGCAATTTAGAGATCCTGTGCATGGGAAGATATTTGGTATTAGAGCAAAGGAACATGTTAAGGCAACTTGATAGGTGGCATTGAGAAGAGCGAAATGTCCAACCCAAGAAAGTGAGTATCCCATGGTATTAGATAAATGCTGAAGTACACGCTTACTCTTCTCCTTTAATATGCTTTGAAATGTTGTGGAAAAACTCATGAAACCTGCCAAAGTGGGGCAAGTTATGGGTACTGTTTTTTTTTAACACATTGGTATTAGAAGCTTGATGATGAGCATTGGTGAAGGTTCGTGTTTGAAGGTAGAGTATCGGTGAAACCCTAGCTTTTGTGTTGTGGTAGGCGCACCACCCCAACTAGGTGCTGTGGGCAACCACTAGTCTACAATCTGACTTAAGTAGGAAAAAAGTAAAATTTAATAAAAAGGAAAAAAGGAGAAAATGTGGAAGAATGAATTATGAATTATATTAAATATTAGGATCCTATATATACAAGTCCCTAACAGTCATATAAAGAAAGCCAATTAATTAGAAAGATTACGAAGGAGTATATTACTAATATACTCTTTATTCTACTTAACCCACATTTTTAACATACAAATCCTCTTGACCCTCTTCCTTAAGCTGGTGAATAAGTATTATCTATTCGTAGCTTGGCTATGATTATCTGAAAACTAGGGTTACTCAATTATTTAGTCAATACATCAGTAATTTAAGAAGCTGTAGACATATAAGGAATGCATATCAACTCGTTATCCTGTTTTTTCTTGACAAAATGTTGGTCCACTTCAATGTACTTTGTTATGTCATGTTGTATTAGATCATGAGTGATACCAATTGCTGACTTATTGTCACAATAGCGTGTCATAGGTCCATCCAACTGAATCTTTAGGTAATCTAAAATTATTTTAAACTATACAAGCTCACGCATCCCTTGAGTCATAAACCTAAACTCTAATTTTGCATTGGACTAGAATACCACACTCTGTTTCTTACTTTTCTATGTCACTAAATTAACTTTAAGAAAGATACAATATCTAAAAGTACATCTTATGTCAGCTAGTGATCTTGCATAGTTTGGTTAGTGTATGCTTTAAGAAGTAGTCGATTATTTTTCTTGAACATAATTTCTTTCACAGGAGTACCCTTCAAGTAGTGGAGTATCCGATAGGTAGCTTGTAGATCTATCTCTTTGGGTTTGTGCATGAATTGGCTCACCAACTGCATATGTAATGTCTAACTTGGTACATGACAAGTATATTAATTTTTCCACTAGTCTTTGGTACATCTCATTGTCTACATCAGGATCTCCTGGTAGTCCCAGTTTATGATTGAGATCAATTAGTTTTTTAGTGAGCTTGCATGCTATAGTATATTTTTGTTTTGATCTAAATATTCCCAACTTTGTGTTGGCTACTTCTATCTCGAAGAGATATTTTAATTTTCTCTGTTTTTTGATCTCAAACTCTCTAATTAAACATTGCTTGAGAGTCATCTTCTCTCATTCATCATTTTTTATAACAATTATATTATTTACATATATTAGGAGGGCTGTGACTCCCTGACTCTGAGTGCTTAATGAAGAGGGTGTGATTTCTCTAACTTTGCTTGTAACCCATTGATAGTATCACATTTACAAATCTCCAAAATCATACACAGAGGGTTTGTTTAAGCTCATATAGTGCCTCTTTTAGTTTGTGTACTTTGTATGTTCCTACTCCTTTAGCAAACCCAAGGAGAATTTTCATGTAAATTTCTTCTTCTAGTTTTCTATACAGGAAGATATTATTCACATCAAACTATTGCAATTGGCAATTGAAGTTAGTAGCTAAAGATTGTAGGATACATACTATATTCATTTTTGCACCAAGTGCAAATGTCTCTCAGCAATCAATTTCGTAGGTCTAGGTATACTCTTTGGCTACCATTGTTTTATATCTTTCAATAGTTCAATCGTATTATTTTGAAGGGGTCCACGTAAAGATAGATTTCCCAATGTTTATGCTATCTCCACCCACAAGGTTGCCCGTGTTTCAGATTGTTTTGAGAGAAATCAGAATGGAGAAGGATCTTGGGAGTGGTGGTAAGTCGTAATTTAAATGACTGTGAGTTGGAGTATGAAAATCTGATGATGACCCTTGCTGGTATCAATTTGGGCAACAATGTGGATCAGCCTTGGTGGAATATCACAAAAAAAGGGGTGTTCACGGTGAAATCCTGATACAAAAAATTGATGCAGCATGATGAGCCAACACAATTGACTGATGGTGAAAGGAATATTCTCCCGTTCAAACAAATCTGGAAGGCAAAGGTACCTCCTCGGGTTTTTTTTTCCGCTTGGGAAGCTAGCAGGGAGTGTATATTAACTATTGATAAATTAAAGAGAAGGGGTCTCATTTTGGTTAATGCTTGCTACCTATGCAAATAAGCTGAAGAATCTTGCTGCCACCTTCTGCTTCACTGTCCTGCTACTTATCCACTGTGGTGTGGGGTGTACAGTTGCCTAGGGATCAGCTGGGTCTTGTCAGGATCGGTAAGGGAGGAGATTGGGGATTGGGAGAGTTTGAAAAGCTGCTGTTTTTTGGCAGATATTATTCTTCTTAGTATTTTGTGGGTTGTATGGAAAGTTAGGAATTGTAGAGCTTTTGAAGGAGTTGAGGATACAAAAGGTTTTGATGTACTGAAAAATAGATGGCTTAGGACCCTAGAATTTTTGCTTTCGGGTCCTCCTCCGATTATGC